GTGAGAGTGACGCGCGGGAAATTCTCCGTGAAAATTGATCGGCAAGCTGAAGTCGCGACCGTTATTGTTGTGAACGGAATGGTCAACGGACGATCGGTGATTTCTGCGTGAAGCGCATCGTCGGACGTTCGATTCGCGACGGATTCATCGACGGGGATGCATCGCGAGTGACGAAGAGAGAGAGGAAAACTGAAAGCTCAACGCGACGTATCGCTTCTTTTACGATCGGTCGAGAGCGCTCGAAGATTGTCGAGTCGTTTGCGCAATTGCGCTCGCAGCCGCACGGTTGCGGTTTCGCTATGGTCGATGCGAGTTTACGCCTATCCACGTGGGGGGAGGGGGGAGGAGGGGATACGATTGCTGCTGCAAATCCGAGTATATTTATTTCCACGCGCATAAACATCTGAGAAAAACGCATCTGACGGAAGTTAATCGTTGAAAAAATCGCGTCATTGAGAGGACACGTTTGAACGTATTAATTATTTTAAATGAATCATGACGTTTAAATGTATTAATTGTCATGACTGAAATCGGCACGATACGTACGAAAAGAATTCCCGTCAAAATAACGCACTTTAGGGTTTAGAGTGACCACGAAGAACTTCCTTGCGGCAGAAACCCCCTATTGCTTCTCTCGTTACGTTGCACATCGGCGCACCAACGCGAGACGCATCGCGCGCGGAGACGCAGTTGCCTTTAGTGATAAAGCCGTTGTTATACGTGCCGCTCGCCAGCGCCGCCGTAAATGTTAAACAGCAGTGCATTACCATATACGATGTGTGCCGCGGCGCACCGCGTTATTCCGCATGCGAACACGCTTAAGGGCACGATGTTCGCCGAGCACGCTGCGTGCTAATAACGTGGACCCTGAATGTCGGAGACGTCGAGTGGGAGGAAATGCAGCGACAACGCAGTGCGACGAAGGCTTTTACGCATAAACGTATCGGCCCACATGTTAACATTGGAACTACCGACAATTAATGCAACTTATTTCCATCGGAACGGTCGAAGCAGGTTCTTGAATAAATACGTTGCGCAAGGGCAATATTCCCTCCTCTCAATTTATTTCATGCAACGTCCACTAAAAATATAAAATATAAATTTGAGTTTATTTTTATACGAAATTGCAGATCGATCATTGGTAGTTCCAATGTTGAAAAAGTTTATTTCTTTCTTTTAGTTTGTTCAACGTCTATTAAAAATACATAAAATACATCGTTAAATAAATATGAGTAATTGCTAGAAGAAACTTCAAACCGGTCTTTCTGACCGGCTTGATAGTTCTATCGTCAATCGACATATTAGTCTTTGCGTGATAATCGCCATGGGCCCTTCTACATCTCTCGGTAGAACGATTATTCATAGCGAAAAAAAAAGGTAGGATAAAAAATATGCAAAATAACAGCAGATGATCATATCGCGCTCTGAGGCTTTGACGTCGATCGAACGTGCCGGCATTCCGGGATGCAGGTCGCGCAGTTATACTCCGCGCTTATATCGCTGGCATCGCACGCATCGAAATAAATTATACTCCATAAAATTATATTCGCGAAAGCCGACGTATAACGCACGACCATCATCCTCTCGTCCGCGTCTGTTGAGTCAAGCACGACGATTTAACATCCACGGGAATATGCATCATGCGAAGCTACATACGCGGCGATATTTATCGATTTAGTCGGCAATTTCTCGGGCACGATCGCACGAACGACCATCACGTTTCCGCACGCGACTCGCTCTTACGCGCTTCTCCCGGAGATAAAACGCGTAAAAAGATAATGGATCATCTCGCACGAAGCTTTTACACCGGCGACTTGAGAGGACGCGCCACGATAGGTCAGGACACTCGGCGTAATCGATATTCAGATACGAAAGATCGGACTTCCGGCACGCGTACCTGTTGCTGGTGTTAGAATACGTAGGATACGTCTGGTAGGATACGCGGCTGATAGCTGCCATTAGTACGTGACGATTATTTCTGCGTGCCCTAACAACGATTTCCTGATGCCGGAGCGGAATGTAAATTTCGAGCCTGAACCCGAGCCCGAGCCCGAGCCCGAGCCTGAGCGGCTGAAGGCGCGGCGGTATACCCTGCGATGAATTAATATTAACGACGATATCATTTTCGCGCCTCGGGGCACGATTCCGTCTGCCATTAGACAATCTAATCCAGCTTGCGCGCGGCCATAACCCTTTTGAGATCGCTGAGCGCGTTCGTCGCCGTGCACGTCTCAAAGGCGCGGAGCGTGTTCTGAGAATAAATTAGCGATTTGTCCGTTTTAATCCACAGGTCTATCGACAGGCTCGTGCGCGACTCTGTTGCATTATCCTTATCGCGGATCTGACCCGAAGTCGATGAAACGTCGCGCCGCGGCTCGCGGAATACGTAGGAAGTCGTGGAGATATCGCGGGGTTGCGACGTGAACATTGTGTGCAAATCTCGCTCGAATTATTTGTGACTCAGCCGCCCGTTGTACGGAATGTTTTCGGATTAATCGATCGATTTGTGGCAATGCTTTTCATGGGTGGCTCAGGAATAGAAACCCGAAAGAACGTCACGTGAATGTGTGATGAGTCGGGAAAATCTATCTTTCTCACGAAAAAAAGTCGACGAACTCGCTTATTAATTAAAAACACAGACCGTTAACAATTATGACAAACATATATTTAATCAGTTTTCTTTATAAGATTTGCATATTTCATAATAGAAAAAATGAACGAGGAGAAAAAAATGAAAATTTTTCAAGACGCGAAATTAGTAAATAAAATTAGTAAGTAGAAGTAGAAGTAATTAAACTTTAGGCTTATTTTCACCGCCAATATTCGAGAAATTCTCAATTTGTAGTCGACTTTTACACTCACGAGATATTAACGAGCGTGCGATGGTCTTGTTATCCTACTTGTGAAAAGGCAAGAAGGAACAAAAATATATTATTTTAGAAATATATCAATCACCAAAATAGCGAAAACGAGATAAGAGAGTATCAACTTTGTACTTGCACCATAATGCGTGCAAGAACAATTCTCTAACTTGAGGAAAATTCCTCTTTGCATCTGCGAAGAAGTCGTGACTAATTTCCCAAAATTATAATAACCGTTTTATCAATAAAGAAATAAGCCGTGGTTGCGAGCCGAGATTATTAACATCTCTCTCTTTCTTCGCGGTTCAGTTCAACGCGGATATTTATCACTCTCTCTCTCTCTCTCTCTCTCTCTCTCTCTCGAATAAAAACTCGCGGGCTTGGAAACTTATATCCCGAGAATTCTCTCTGTTAAATGGTCGGTGGACAGCGGCGGGACTGGGAAAAACTTGTCAAGTTCAGGTTGTCAGGTGAAACTTCGCCCACGGCCGGCTGAGCGACGAAGACCAGTGCGACGCGACTTTTCCTAGGTAACGTCACGCACATCGTGTAACGTCGCCCGCATACCTGTACTATTACCTGCACCTGCACACCGAGTGCACACGCGTATCGTTAGACTCGTACAAATCGCAACGAGACGCGTAGCGACGTACAGGTGTGCGCACACACAGGATGCACATCGCGGCGCGATATTTCAGTTGTCGCGTCGCGGACGCGGATACGGTTCTTTCGAGAGAGCTATATTAATTTCGTTCGGCGCTGCCCGTTTTGTCCGGGAGCCGAGCGGAAACCAGAAACAAGTCGCTCGCGAGGAGGAGCGAGGAAGCGACGCGTTAGAGCTGTATCGGTTGCCATACATCAAAGCGTCCTGACGGGGACGAATATATCGGCTCGGCGCGGCGTGTTTTTACCGCGGCGACCGTCGTTTCCGTGTATGTCGCGGCCCGACGTATAAAGCGCGACCGATCCGCTGAAATTTGCATCGCGAGGATCCATGTTTCGACGTATCCCTACTTCCTCCCCTCCCCCGTCACGTGTCTGTAAGCGATCATTTGTACGCGAGGCTTTCATGCATACTGCATATTCCTGTGACATCCAGCTCTGCCCCCCTCGCTCTCGCCCTCGCCCTCGCCCTCGCTCTCATCCTTGCCCGGAGCGCCTATTTATTTCCGTCATTCTCAAACGAATTTTCAAATCAGCGGAAATCTTGTACCGCGAATGTTCATTCGTTATCGCGGCTAAATGAATCGAGCGAGCAGGTCGAAGTGGCCCTTGGAGCAATCCGCGCGATAGCGCAGCGAATTAACTAACCTTTTCGCTCTGTCGTAAGTCCGGCCGGCATGCGACTGTGCAGCACGAACGATCATTTCTTGCGCGCCGTTTGTATAATATATTAACCGCTCTCGGTATCCGAAGATCGTTTCGCAGCGGACTACAGTCGTTGCGGCAGCATTAAGCGAGCGTCGAAAGTTATACGAGGGAGAACAGATCGTATACTGACATTTTCATCGGTTACTCGAGACAGTCGGTAATGCAAATTCTTCAATTATCCTCGGGGCTATCAAGCTCCGCGAAACTTTATAACCTAACATTGTCGATCCGCTGCTGGCGGATACCGTTCTGCGCACATTAATTCTACTATCGAAACTCACTCAATCAAGACTCACCGAGGCGGGAAAATGTGACGCGAGCGCCGAATCTGGAAGCGTGCATTTCGCCGGACGAGCACGAGTGCTGTATATTGCGTGTGTGTGTACTTGTTGCATCTCGCTCACTCGAGCGGCTGTTCCACACGCCGCGACGATGACGCCGGTTACGATCGTCGTCGGGGAGACCTTGCATTCAATCGCATCCGAGTAGAATTAATCGGACACACTACAATAATTGCCCGTCACTGGATTCGGCATTTCCGACGCTCAATTGTAAATTCGTTTCCGACGACCAAAAAATATATACGACGAACACAGAGCGGTCGGAGTCTGGGTGCGAGGCGTTGCAAGTGGCGCGGGTCGGCGCGCGCTCACGGACCACTGTGATTGGTCGGCGTCGCATCGATAGATCGGCTCGCGTTCGATTCGATATACTTCAAGAAACTCAGCGTCGTTGCGACGACGCACATCTACGGTCCTTTCTGCGGTGGATCGCGGCACGGCAAGGTGGTTTCGCAAAGCGGTCCTGTGATCCGTGTAATTATTACCTGTAAATGGTGAGTCTCATGCACAATTTGTTGTCCCCGAGAATGTCTAAAGCGAGCTTCGAACTCGTATTGCGTTGACACATTGTCAAGTAGCCGCTGAGAGCGAATATCTCTCGCGAATTTGACCGTCGGGGGTAGCGAGTAAAACGGCGCGCGTCCGTTACAACATGGCGGCTCGAAAATGAAACGCGAATAATATCGAACGACGACAAGATGACTTCTGTTGACCACCGATACCTCTGTGCACGGTGTTTGCTATTAGTTGGATGAAATGATATAGATGATTATTCTGACAAAATTCTAGCACTAGCTCAGTTTTGTCTAAACGATATAATATTTCAGTATAACTATTATAATATAATGCGTCGAAAAGATGTCGGAACATATTCGGGCAGGGCGCCACGACTGCCGCACGGGATTCTGCGCTCGCATCGCATTCTCTTGCTTCGGTGAGCCTACATTTCTGCCTTCCGGGGCGAATAGAACGTAATTTCATTCGCATTATCTTCGTTATATCCCATAATTCGCATATTTACAAGCCACGTTAGGAAGCTTGACGCGTTATGAGAAAAGAAACTAGGAGAAAGAGAGATAGAGAGAGATAGAGAGAGAGAGAGAGAGAGAGAGAGAGAGAGAGAGAGAGAGAGAGAGAGAGAGAGAGAGAGAGAGAGAGAGAAGAGAATGCCTCCGCGAACGCGAAATCTACCTGCCTCTATTGAGATTTTATTTGTAGCATGTATTTTATTATATGGGCACAGTGAGCTTTCTTTTTTAAGTTAGCCCCTCGTTCTTTGACCATGGGAAAACACGCGTAAATCGTTGCGTGTACACTCGGAATTATAATAATCGCGGTAGTGAAAACTACTCCGGACACGAATATCATAATCTTGGGTCAGTATCATAATTATTATGTTACATTTACACTAATCATACCCGTGCTATTCACTAATTGGTGAACAAAAAGAAGCCGCTCTCTCATCGCGGATGTTGCAACCGACCGCTGCTAGTTTTATTCGGCCTCATTATTAAAATATTTCAAATATAAATTTTATATATTCGCAATAAAAAAGGGGGGAGAACTTTAGGTAATAATTGCATGATAAAAATACTTCTGACCGAATAATTAAAGAATTACGATTATAAATAAATCTAAATGCATATAACCCTTGTTATATATAAAAATTTGTTATATATAATCATTGTGAATATGTTTGCATTTGACATTAATATAATACATATTATCGCGTTGTGCGACTCTTGTCGGTCCACTTTTTTATTTACTTTTTTATTTACACGAGGATAAGTAGTTGTTTTCGGGGTGCGCAGTCACACCTTACATTTCGTTGCCTCTCCACGAAGCAGCTAGTCCGGCTAGCGATATGGAAAATGTTAATTAGTGAGCGAGGTTGCACAACGGGTGTGTCGCGAATTGCGTCAGGCGATTCAGCTATCCGGCATTTAAACGCGCTGATGCAACTGTGAGCATAGTAAAAGTGTAACCTCGAAAAAATGTCGCGATTTTCTCGAGAACGTCTAACGCGAATCTTGGCAATTAGGCGCGGCTTCGCGTCGGAGAACCGAGAAGATTTTAACAAGCGACTTGAGCCTTCTTTCGAGGCAAGACTTTTTCCCCGTTCAAGGCGAGCGCGCGCTCTTTTCCCTCCAGCAGTATAGAAAATATGCACGCGTACGCATCGATGCGATCACGCATGTAATAAGATACGAATACTGACGTGAAACGGCTATACTCTCGGTTCTAAGTTTCAATTAGCAACAAATGAATGGCGCGAATCATCGTCGATATCGTTCCATCATAATTACACGTTGACTCGCACGTGAAAAATTCTATATGTTATTGCAAGTATAGAAGTAAATATATAGTAATGGAATGAAATAAAATTAACACTATGTTCGGCATTTTACGGGAAATAAAACGACGGAATAAATCAGAAAGAGAGCACCGCTATATTCGCGATTTCGTATTTGCGGCAAATCACGCGAAAAATGCAATCGATCGCGCTCACGATATCGTACGGATCCAAAAATCGCGCACGATATCGTCGCGGTCGTAAGCGGATACGTCCTGCGATTTATTTTACACGCCCGGTTAAGAACGAACTGTTTTATAGCGAGGATGTGGAGGGAGGGTGGCTGCGCCATCAAACGAGACGACTCAAACGCGATATCCTCGATCCGGCGGCAGCCGGAAGATGCGCCCGTAGAATCGGACGCTAACAGGATCCTCATAAACGCGGCTGGACTTTTATTCCGATGCGCGAGTGGCTTTTACGACCTCGCGTCTCTCGTCGAATTTCTGGCATTCCAACGATAGCGGGGAATAGAAATATTCTCCGTGTGCGTGACGTCGCGTCGCATCGCGTCGCGTAGCTATCGGTATCGTGATCTTCAAACTAGGAATCTCCCGAGTTCTTTTATCGGTGCGCTGACAAATTATTGTCGATCCTTCGATCGGCGCGACGCGCGAGCAGGGATTTAACGGCCAATAAAAGGCCGACGTACGGCCTTGTCTTTAGCTCCTTACGGCGGGAATCGCGTTCTCGACCCGGTAGGAATCCCGGCTGTGCTCATTGGTAACAAATGTGTCGCGCGTTTTCTCGTAAAAACGCGCGGACGCGCGTTACGCGCCCGAGACAATAAAATATCGCGGCCGCCGATCGGATCGCGTGCGATGGAGCGTTACTCTCTCTCTCTCTCTCTCTCTCTCTCTCCCTCTCTCTCTCTCTCTCTCTCTCTCTCACTCTCTCTCACGGGAAAATCCTGCGTCTGTAATTAAGCTGGCGATATGCGGAGAATTCCGTCTTATTACTCATACAGATAAAAACGTAGGAACGTAAATTGAAGCAACGTAATTAACTACTTCGGTGGGTTTCTTTTTCTCACGAAGGAAAAGATTGATCTTTTTGACGTGACAGTGAACGAAGAACCAAAATTTCGGGTCTTTAGAAGCACATTCGTACGTGTGAGAAATTTCCCTTCAATCAATAACGTCACTGTCAATCTATAAGCAAAATGACGCAACGTGTCATTCATCTCTATTTGCGTGCAGCGGTCGCTACCGTGCGAGACGAGATCGATAGTATGTAAATAATTAGCGACTGATTAGATGTGTTTTGTCGCTTCGAATTGGCCGACTACCGCGCGTGTTCCCCGCTATAATATCGCGGATTACACTGACAGTTAGGCGCGCGCATTAATCGCACGATTATCCGTTCGGCTTGACGATTCCGTCTCTCGTTTACGCGCAATTAGGCAAGCGCGCGCGCGCGCGCGCACGAGGCAATAGCGGTATTCCGTCGACGCTGTGATTTTATTTATCCCCAGGCGAACGACGAGTACCTCTCTCTCTTTCTCTCTCTCTCTCTCTCTCTCTCTCTCTCTCTCTCTCTCTCTCTCTCTCTCTCTCTCTCTCTCTCCCTCTCTCTCTCTCTCTCTCGCACGCTCGCTTACTCTCCGCGGCACGAGAGATCTCGGCGACGAGCGACGGGCAGGGTGGCGGTTCTCTCGAGCATCGATAATATTATTTCACGAAGGGGATTCTCGAACATCAATAATATTATTCCGAGCTGCCTCTCTCCCGACGTTGACTGCCGCCGCCGCCGCCTGCCTCTTGGCGTTGCCGGCGTTAAAGAGTCTGAGATACGCTCGCCCTCTGGCCTCTCGAGCGCGCGAATAGCCTCCCGACGTATTTTCAATTAACGAGCAATCAACGAGCGCTATTTCGTGGCACAAACAATCGTATAAAACGTTCCGGCGCGGACGGCCGCGGACCGGCGAGATTGGCTATTGGGAGACGACGGGGGCCGGCTATGTCGATTAAATCAAAAAGACGCACGGCAAATTCGTATTCCTCGCGACGTGAACGGGGATATTTACGAAGCTGTAAGCAGCCCGGTCTCCCCTGTTTCGTCATTGTCGTCGTCGTCGTCGCCGTTTGCCGTTCGCGTTTCGACGATGCGCAACGTTTACACGTCTTGCACTTTGCTCCCGGCACACGCTCGCACGCTACCGTCGTTTACAGATGCCTAGCGATGTGTCTTCAATTAGCGGATATTAAGCGCACACACTTCTAATGTATCTTCAATTAGCGAGCTATTAAGCGCGCTCCTGAGATCCGGGTAAATTATTTTACGTGCCGTAAAACCTTTGCGTGCGCTCGCGCGGCATTAAATCGAGACGTTCGGTCGTAGAAGAGAGTGGTATTCGGCAGCTCTCGGTGGTTGAATTAAAATACCACGAATTTTTCAAAATGCTCGCGGAAAGTGAAAGCCGTGTACACGCACGAGGCTTACCGATATGCCGAGCGATCAGTCTCGCGCGAGATCGATATATGGCCGTTATTGAACTCCTTCGGCATTTGTAATTAATTTCGCGTGTAACTCCATAATGATATCTTGTTTCCACACGTAAACCGGAGTGCGCGCACCCTATAGGCTGAGAAAAAATAATTAATTATTAATAGTATCCTGAATTTTACGTCGCGTAACGAGAGGGGCGTAATAACAGATCGCGGTGGAGTTGCTGATTATATTAAGCGCGTTCGATTACGAGCACGACGCGGAAGAGAGAGAGAGAGAGAGAACAAACTCGAGAAAGAAAGCTCGAGATAGAAGGAGAAGGAGAGCACGCACGTGTCTTCGGCGAAGCGTGAAAGATCGAGCGCGCGTGGGACGATGGGCCGCGAAAACGGGAGGCGGAAGACTACTGGAAGTCGGCTGGAAGGCCCGGCAGGGCGCAGTCATCCGGCTTTTTCAGTTTCTACCGGCGAAAATTAGATTTTCGCGGTGCCGCCGCCGACGGAATGACTAACGTCCGCCAGACACCTTAATCAAGATACCATCCGCACTCGTTCTCTCCTCGAGCGCGAGAGAGAGAGAGAGAGGAAGAGAGAGAGAGAGAGAGAGAGAGAGAGAGAGAGAGAGAGAGAGAGAGAGAGAGAGAAGTCCATTAACATATTTCACTCTTTAATTCGTACGGCGGCGGCGGCGCTG